GCGTTACTTATCTGTTGGTAGGCAGATTCGGTGATATTTTTAGAACCTCACTGCCCCACAACCTTCGTGAGTCAAAATCACAATTTTCCGCACCGTGAATATGGTAAAACAAGTATTAGCCGGAAGGGTGTAACTGTTTGGGCTTTTTTCTGCTGTTTTCAATTTCATGTTTCAATTCCACTGCGCTCAGTCATGGAGTGTTTGAATCTCCCTCTCACTGTCTCTCTCTCTCTCTCCCTCCCCCTTAAATATAATTTGGTGGGTAAAGGAAATCATGTCAATGTTTTGAAGGCGAATTTTTGGTTTATTATTTACTGTTATCCATTTAAAAACTAAATTAGTTCCCAAACTATTTCCGACATTTTATATTTCGCTAATTTGGAATATTATTATTTATTTAGAACAAAGAAATGGATCGATGCGTCCATAGATGACATTACTAACAGAGAAATGAGTAGAGAGAATAGTTTAGGTGAATTTGACGTAATTATACATTATACAATATATTTCTTTTCAATAAAATAGGCATTTTGGCTTTTAAGGAAATCTTTGCATCTGTACTGTTATGTAATTTTGTGAAAATATACTCTCAATCGACGATAGAATAAAATGCGTAAAGCCTAAATTTTTTCAATTGGTTAATTGGGAAATCGTGTTCACTGTCTGCACTTTACTACGTCATACATTCAGCGGATTTCTTCCGTCCAGTCATTCAAGTTGGCAACTTTATTTAGACTTTTTGTAGACCTCTTCACCACTCCATACAACCTCCATTACAAAATTTTGTATGCTGATATGGGCATCATGAAAAAAAATGAGAAATCATGGCCAAACTATCTTTCCATTCTAGATATTTTGTGGTTTGGTTTCTAACAAGGTTTAGAAAATCACAATGTTTTAATGTGAGTGTACTACAATGAGATTTTTGATGCACACAATGTAGGGCAATAAGAAATCGTGTGTTAATTAAGTGACGTGTCCAGCAATTTGATTCAATTAATTGTTCAATAAGATCTGAGCAACGTGATTTTTCATCAAAGTAACTTTTACAGTGATTATAATGAATGTTGATAAGGTAGGCGTATGTGAACACTTTCTACTCATAGCCATTCCCAAAGTTAAGGGTATCGAGAATAGTGAATTTCTCCAATACATCTGGAGACGACCTTAATCAATAATACATTTCCACTACATAGGAATCTTAATCTTCAATGGCCAATGGTACCCCTCACCATCTACGAATTGTAATTCGCAGATAATGGAAAAGATTGAAAGTATTTAACTAAATTTTTCAAACGCTGCTTTCCTACTTTCGTGCTCAATAAATCTGGAAACAACGTTATAGAATTTGAATTTATATAAGTATAATGATCTGCGTTTTAAAAGGTCAAATGTAAGCGCTATACTATTACTGAAACTGGTATTTGTTGTCTAAAAGTCTGTTTATACTTCATGAAAGCATGACAGTGGCATAAAAAATCGGTTACCTTTCTTTAATACTCAACTTAGTTCTTTCAGTATCTGATAAATAGTATTTGATACACGAATTTCAACACTCCAGTAAGCTGTAATTTATATTAGGTTGGCAACTAAGTCATTGCCGATTTCAAATAAGAAGGCAAATTCGGAATTTTTGTTTAAAAATATAACTTTATTCAATTAGATATTGGCCGTTCTTGTCGATGACCTTTTTCCATCGTTCTGGCAGAGTTGAAATTCCCCGTTCGTAAAATGTCTGCTCTTTGCTATTAAAAAACTGAATTAGGTGTGATCCGACATCATTCGCGTTGTTACAAATTTTACCATTTAAAGAGTTTTTCATGGAACGAAACAAATGGTAATCCGAAGGCGCAAGGTCAGGGCTATATTGTGGGTGTGATAAAACATCCCAACCCAGTTCCAATAATTTTTGCCGAGTAACCAAAGATGTGTGGGGCCTTGCGTTATCATGATGGAAAACAACACCCTTCCGCCGATTTGATAATGCCGGCCGCTTATCTTCAATTGCATCCTTCAGTTTTTCGAGTTCTTCAACATACACATTTGAATTTATCGTTTGGTTCTGCGGCATGAGTTCAAAATACAAAATTCCTTTTTGATCTCCCCACCAGACTGACAGCATAATCTTTTTTTGGTGAATCTCTGCTGCTTTTGATACTGTTTGGGCTGGTTGATCTCGCTTCACCCATGATCTCTTGCGAGTAACATTGTTATAAACTATCCACTTTTCGTCGCCAGTAACTAGGTTCTTCCTCGGAAATGGATCATTCTCATTGCGTTTCAGTAGCGGCGAATCACAGATGCTAATCCGTTGCGTCAAATGAATTTCCTTTAACTGGTCAGGGATCCATAAATCAAGTTTCTTGACATAACCAAGGGTTTTTAATTTTTTTTAATGCATGTATGCGACACATTGAGCTTCTCTGCAACATCTCGTGTTGTGCTGTGACGATTTGAATCGATAATGGCCTTGATATGGGTTTCATCCACTTCGACTGGGCGGCCAGATCGTTGTGAATTTTTCAGTGAAAAATCACCGCAACGAAATCTTTCAAACCAATTTCGACACTGCCTTTCTTTTAAGGCGGCTTCATCTCCATATACGGCACATAAGTTCTTTTGTGCTTGCGATGCGTTCCTGCCTTTTCGGAAGTAATACAATAAAATGTGTCGGAAGTGCACATCCTGTTCTTTCATTTTTAAATTGGGATAAAAACAAAAATAAAGAATTAAACAAAAAATTATTTTACCAATTAACCTAGAAGCCCATACAGTACGAAAAAATATAGGTTAGATGCTCTGGCCACGTTAACAAATCAAAAGAAAGCATAGAGTGAATCTGTCAATAAAAACGGCAATGACTTAGTTGCCAACCCAATATATTTTCGTAAGGGACGCGCGATAGACTTACCTCCACGTGGTGCACCCTGGGCAACGTATACTCATATGGCAAAATGTCTATTAATCGGTAGTTGACTTCTGACTTCAAACCGCCATGACCCCACTATCTGTCAAATTCGACCACTTCAACAGTACTCGTTTTACTTCTTCTCTGCGTTTGTGCCCATCTGTCTCTTTACATCTGTAAATCACTCTTCTTCCCTCTCACTCGAATTTTTCCCACTTTGATGTTCCTCCTCCCCTCTGTGTTCCCCCTCTTGAATTTTTCCCACTTTGATGTTCCTCCTCCCCTCTGTGAAGTTCGAAGTCTACAAAAGGGCTAGTGATAACAATCAAAACGCCTGTCATTCGAAATAAAAAAATATATTTTCGTAAGATTCGAACCCGTCCTTTTGAGGTTCTGAACATTGTATTGGTTTAATTTTTTCAAGCACAGGATATACATTCAAAAAACTACCTACAGGGCTTTAGATGATAGTTAGAACTCAACCAACTCTACAACCAAAAACATTGAAAAACTCTACAAAATACTCCGTTGTCTGGTTTATGCAGTTCATGTCACTACAGCTCCACCTCGCCCAAACAATCCAAATGTAAAATATTACATTTTTAACTTCAGAATTGTTGTTTGTTTAAACAGGAGCAATCTATTTTTTGGCGCTTTCACCATGGAAGAAGAGATCTGACTTTTTAAGCTGGTGGTATTTGTAAGGATATCTAATTTTCCTATAATGAATCTTTTTTTCACGGAGTAGGCCCTTTTTTAGCACTGATATTCCCGTTAAAAGTGAGCTAAAAGGCCCTAAATATGCTGTTAAAAAATGGGCGATTTCATGTTTCCTTCCATCTTTGGTCCTTGGGTACTTTAAGGAGACGGGGATAATGTAGTGACTCCGGGAGTGTATAAGCAATGCCACATTTAGAAACCCAAATACAAGCCAAAATCGTGTGCCAGAACAGATTTCTATTGAATATTCAATATTCATTTCTCAATTTCGTGCCTTAACTGGTCAACTATCACCTTTGAATGAATTAAGGAATAAGTTAATAATATGCCACCTGTTTTCCTGGAGTTGGCAGTGAGTGAGCCCAGGATTTTGTTAGACAGAGCGTGGCTATTCTCACTTCAGAGTGTGTATTGATGAACATCTCCCAGCGCAAATTGCATGCCATATTTTGCACTCCGATTTTCCCAGACCATCGGCAAAACTATTTCATGTCATCTATAACTAAGCATCCATTTGGCCAAATAATAATTATACTTCCTACTTATTTTAATAAGCAAATACTTACATCTGCTTTCCCGAAGGAAAACTTTAAATTTCACATCCTCTCCTCTGGGATAGATGCTATCCCTATACACATTTTGTTCAACCTGCCATGCAAATCTTTGAATGGAAATGAAATAGGAGAAAATGAGTAAAATCAATGCGGGCTTCCAGAATTCATAGTAGCATGATTCCTAGCAGATTTTGTTTGAAGCCACAACTACAGATACCTCAATCCTTATAAATTGTAGGCTAAAAAACTTTAGCTCTCAGTAGGAATGGAAACATGTTCATAAAATCGACGGGTGAAGGTCAGTTCAACATCTATTTGAATGGGAATTGTATATCTCAAGAAAGGGTAGTTTACTTTAGGGCTAACTTGCAGGCTGTCTATCACTCCATTTAAAACTGGCACTTAACCGCCTATCCTTGATCCTTTTTAACCAAAACGACGATACCAGACACGTGTGTCATTGCTGTGCGACTATTGAGTTCTATTAAGAATGCCCATTTATGTTTAGCGAAATTCGTATTTATGCCACTTCCTTCTCGATCTTACTCGCGTATCGGAAAAATATCACTCTTTCTTCTTTACTTAATACATTTTTTCAGAATTGCTGAAATTTGAATTCATTAACTTGTTCATTCGCCTTTTTTAAGACCAATATCTGATCAAAGTCAATTTCAACTCTGGAGTCTTGGTGAGAAGTAACTATAATAAAAAGAGATAAATTAAACTAAAAAGAACTTATATTAATTGCCGATACTAGAAGAAAAAAAATAACGCGAAGATTTTTGGTGAAAGAACCGCTAAGTCAGGCATTTGTTCTGTCAGTATTGCTCTCCAAGAGAGGAGATATCCAATCTTGAGGCAACAAGACCAATGTAAGCATCCTCAATTGGAAATTGTTCGGTGAAGAACAATGCCAGTGCCAGGAGTTCAGCTTTGGAGTAACTTGAGAGAATATGGCATCCCATGACATAGTCACTGTAAAACGCCCAGAGTACTTCATTTTGGAGAACATTCAACCTTGGATCCCTGACACTCCAAGCAAATTTTCTACATTTTCCTTTCCTTATACGCATGCCATGTCAAAGAGATCGTAGAACTCGAATGAGATATTTCAAGTTCACCGAAACATCACCATCTAGAAATACAACTGTTGGATGTTTCATTTTGCTAAAGGTTGAGGCCCAGACAAAGGAATAGAAAGTTTTCTTAGTTAGCTTAAAGTATGGGTTTTCATAGTCCCTAATGATGAGATCTTTGTACATTTTTCTTTCTTCTCTAAAACGAACAGCAGTCTGATTTAGATCTTTTGAGTTCAGAGATTTACCTCCACCGCTGTTCCGTTTTATCATATATTCGCCACGAATAAAGATATAATCTTTTTGACTTCGAGGTGGTCCCACGGAGAATACGAATCCAATTCGGAGATCGAGTACTGATCGACCCTGAAAATTTGTGAAGTCTTCATTGAGTTATCGGAAGTCATGGCGTTTTATGAATTGTGATACTCTTGACTTGACTTTACAATAATTTCATATCAGTTGCTAAGTTGTTTCTCAGGATGACAAACTTCACTAATTTGCAGGAATCGTAGCCGAGAACTACTTGTTGGTCATAGATTATACACTATTTAGTCCAGCCACTATTAACCTCTCGAACCGAAATTCATAAAATGTGTGATAAATTTTTCCAATTTAAGCGCTAATTATCTCCAATTTAAATTTTTCCAAAACACAGCATGGAAACAATATTCCTGTATTATGGATATTGTGCGCAGTATAAACTTACTTGAGTTCCTCAATGGAACCAGACTTATTACAAAATATCTTTACAGTAATATTAATTTCTGCATCTTAAAGTGGTTAAAATCTCTTTAAAAATTTAAAAATATCGAGAATACACTATTAGGATAAGCAAAAATGTTAATTATTGATTGCTTACACCACGAATAGGCTGTCTTCAGCCAATCTCCTCGATAATAGAAGAGATATCGTAGACCTGCGGATAGATCCGATCAAAATCCCGTTTATATTGACTATCAGGAAATTTTTTCAGTTCCTCAAATATTAGCTCTTTCGATTCAGCACCATGATTGAATATAAGACCATCAAAAATGACGATCTTCTTTGGTACTACTTGAGATGGTATCAGGTAACAATGCATCACCACCTCATAAGAATTGTACGAACAATTTAATAGATGAACCCAGTGGTAATTAGCATTCTCATCTTGGTATCGACAATGGTTGACAATAGAGAGAACCAGCAAAATATCAGCCTGATCCAATGCAAGACGTTCTTTGCTAACTTCGTTTTGACTTAAATAAGCTAAATTAAGGAGCCAATGTATGAAAGCATGTTTTAACGAACTATGCTATCATTTATGCCCCCCCCCCTGATTTATTGGTGCTTGGCCTGTGTGGGCAGCTAGTTCAAACACTTGAGTTTACTTTTTTGAGGAATTGTTTCTCAACACTTATAGAGCCAATCAAAACTTAATCGAAAATCTTATTCGGAAGAGATTTGTGCTTGTTTACTGTTTATGCCCGTGTAAGTGAGTGAAATATTAGTACCTTGTAATCTGCTTGAACAATTAAGCATTGAATGCAATGTCAGACATTATGATCAGAGCGTGAAAATATAACGTGCCACAAAATATAACTTGATTGATCGTGAAAACTGGATTTTAATGAAAAAGGTGAAACATCTGTTTTCTTTCTATTTCTAAATTAGATAATCTTAAATGTATTTATTTAAATAAATTATAACTAGAAGATATCTTTAAATAAATGCATTCACCAAAGACGTTTTGTATATTCTAAATACGAATTGCTATACAAATAATCTTTATTTTCTGCCAATTACAGTGTTTCTTCTATAAATACCAGTACCTCTTACATCTTTTTCCTCACTAACAGAAACCACTTTGTAATCAGGCCTATTTGTTCAATTCAACACCAATTAAATTTCAGTTTGCTGCGTTACTTCTGTGACCTTCCCCCTGTGAGATTGTCAACTGGGCTTATGATCTATTATAATATAGCGTAATTGCACCTCAAGATGACACTATTGGAAAGAAATTGGCATAGAAATAATAAGCTCATTACTTGCATAATTGTAGCAGAAATTCTCAAGCACATTATGAAAATGATACTCGACAGGTTATCCAGGATAGGGTTTGACTTCAAAGAACCACATTGATATGGGACTCGATTTTTGCCACCTTTGATATTAGGTAGTGTGGCTGTTCATTCACCTCACTAGATATGACCTCATGAGAATTAGATTCTGATACAGCATACCTGCACATAGATCAAAATGACATTGGAGCTCAAAACTAACTGCATCTCAAGTAAGGCCTACTTATTTGAAGTTTCTATAAAAGTGTGTAATAATGACGTGTATAGCAGAAGTCAAATTACCTACCATGGCGTCCGAATGATATCATTTTATGCTATAAATAGAGGATAAAATTCGATTTAGTATTATAAAATAGCTGCATAACTCAAACACAACATAAAATTGAACAATAGGTATAGTTGTCTGTTAAATGCATCAAGTCTACGACTTCAGTCTTTCCTTCTCGAAACTGAATTAGAAATGATTTTTGATTATTTGCTCATTAGAGGGCTTAAATATCATTGGAGGAATATTTCAAATGCAGTTAATTTGCATGTTATTCTTAACTAGTCCACTATATATAGATAAGTCGTTTTAGCATGACACTTCTAAAGAACTTCCGGTAAGGCGCAATTTCATCCATTGGTTCTGGAGTTATCTTTCATTCTCGAGTGTGTTTCTATGTAATTTGCCTCATTTTTTGAAATTTATTTATCTGGATATGGCTTCTTGTATGAAAAGGTGCATTGGGACTCCAATAAAGGGTACCAATTAAGGGCAAATTCCGTAAAACAGCTACTGACTGGAGAAGTATCGCAGGACTGACATCTCTTTAGCTTGCTAAGTTTCATGCTTTGAAAAATATCTTTCCAAAGAATTTTCTCCAGGAAATGAATCGTTTATTTAAATGCATTCCCAATATTGTTGTCCGGTACAAATGAAATATTTTAAAGACGATAACACGTTCCTTGGATTGCTTAGAGGAAGCAAATCAAATGTTTGTATGGTAGGAAGTTTCTGGCACTGTGACCTGCCACATGATATTATACTCGCTTCGGCTAAGTAGGCAAAGGCAGTTATACTAACCTGAGGCCAATTCGAGGTGTTCAAAATCGTAGCCTCTACAGCATAATTAATATCTAAAGGCCAGTAATTGGGGTTCGGTACTATCGAATTAACCTGTGTATCATAACCGACATATTGGTAGGAGATATGAATTAATCAGCTCGCTTTAGCAGCCGCGGTCCAAATTAGCAACTGTTTAAAGTCATTTTATAGATAAAAATGGAATATAATTAAGAGGAGATGAAGGATGATATTTTAATACTCGATCAAACGAAGGGAAGAGAGATAAATGGCTGGAAAAGCTAAATCTACCAGCCGATGTCGTGGAGACAATTTTGTAATTCCGGTCAAACCAAATCATCTTTTCACTCTCATTTCAGTCTAAAAGAGTATGGGAGATGTAGAGAGAGAGACAGAAAAGTGCCAAAAGGCACAATGGGATGAGAAAGCGACCACCAGACTACAATAGCCTTTTCACTGCCATGCCAATCTGTGTGTAATGACCACGATGTTGCTACCTTAGCCTACCTCTATTTCCTCATTACTCAATAGCGGTATCTGATCTCACAAATATCAATCACAATTTTAAACGTTTCAGTAATAATTGGATGAAATCAGTGTGGTTCAGGTTCTTGTCCTGAGATGAATAATGTTTCTGGAATTGGCGCAAGCTCCCTTATTTGAAAACAATTAAGTTCAGTATTTGAGATTGACATTTTTCTTCTTCAAAAGTTCTCAAAGTGTCTTGATCTAATTTTGGCAGAATCAAATAGTTTCACCTCAAATGGCCAAATTTAACTTTCATGAAATCAATATTAAGTTTTCGCTACTGCGCATTCCCATGGATAAGTTCTTCAGCACCTATGAGAATAGACCCAGACATCTGAAAACGCAATCTGGTCTAATACAGAAAGTCATAGAACTGAAGAAAGAATTACAAATCGATGACAAACCAAAACGCCTCTCTCTCCCCATGAACCCATTAGCAGACATTGATGTAGTGTGATGCACCCAACTGCTCGACTTCTTCAGGAAATCAAACACCCCTCCAGAGCAAATGTGCTCACTGGCCCTTGAGACAATCAATGTCAACTATCCTGAAGATCAATGGCTCCAAGTCTTCACTGATGGGTCATACATAGAAAGCCAAACAAACGTTGGTGCATGTGTCTATTCTGAACTCTTCTCTTTCTACGCAGCAGCGGGACACAATAGATCCGTTTTCGAAGGAGAAATAGAGGCCATTAGGATAACACTATGCCAATTATGTTGTCTGGATACGAAATTCACCAAAGCAGTGATACTTTCGGACTCACAGTCAGCAATAAACTCAATTGGAAACAGAGATATAAAGGAATGTAGAAAACTCTATGAGCTGCTGAGAGAGAAAAACAAAACAGTGGTCCAACAAAGGATTCCTGGTCACTGTGGCATTAATGGCATCGAGATTGCTGACACACTTGCTAAGAAGGGGACAACGATTTTGCAATGCATGGACCGGCCGATGTCTTTCCACACAATGAAGGCCTTAATCAGGAGAGAATTCCAGACCTCAAGGTGCAACGAACTCAAAGCTCAAACAAAGAAGAAACAGTGGACAGTGGCACTCTCCGACATAGCCGACTGGCCAAGAATCGAAGCCGTTGCTGAGTTTAGACTACGTACCGGACACGATTGCTTGGCAAAACACCTTCACAGATTGGGAGTATACACTCAACCCACATGCCCTCTATGTAACCTACATGAGGAAATGGAGAAGACCCACCTGATTCGATGTCCAGCCCTAAAGACAAGTACGGAAAGCCAAAGATATTGGGAAGCAAGAAGACACCTAATGAATTGCTATTAATTAACTGCTATAAATGTACCCCTTCCCCTCCTGGGGGAAGCTGAAGTCAAAGATTAAGGGCTAATGATAAATATCATAAAGCCTGCCATTTGAAATAAATAAATATTAACTTTTCTAATTACTCCCAATTTTGAAACAAAAATTTTAAAATAATGATAGTGCATTCGATGGATATGAATTGAACTAATTTTTGGTACTTTAATCTGAGAAAATTGTTTCACTTTTATTTAAAGATATTTTAGCTTCCCAACTTCGAATGTGCCTTTGTCGGTTGAGCGCACAGTAGTGAACTGTTAACGCCTTCTCCATTGTAGTCCTTATAGGCACGGCTGCATGTGGAGTGGAAAGTGTGTATGAAATTAATTATGCAAGAGTTTACTCCTAAAATAATGTGAGCTGCTCCGCTTAAACTTTAGATTTAAGAAAAGGTAATGTCTAAGTATATAACCAACAGTCTTCCTCTATTTAGATGACCCATATTTGGTCGAGACCACGAAAATACTGGACGCTAGAAAGAAATAAGAGAAAGAAAAGACAAATAAGCCGGAAAGAGTATCAATGCAAACGTAGTTGGAGAAACAAGAGGGTTGTGTCTCTTTATAAACATTCCTAGTGAGAGCCAACTAATAACGATCGAGGTGGAGGCTTAGCACGAAGGAGGGTTATTACTGAGGCTTATTAATATCTATAAATAAAGGCCTAGTTATTGGATATAATGAGGTGGACTTCGTTTTGCTTTAATAGTGAAAGGAGAAGATGTGCAATTGCCTGAGGACTTTTATTTAGCTATGTCATTGGTTGAATTAAGAGGCACAGGTTGGTACTGTAGAGAATACTATATGAGTTAACACCTTTTCCAGACCTCGGGGAAGCCCTTTGGAGTCAAACTGACATCAGACAAATACAACCAACCTCCAGCAGAGTCCTCTAGCACAAGTAGGCTCAAAGATTGCCTAACCTACGTTCAAGACAACCAAACCGATACACAAAGTAGTAAGCTTCTATTGCATGGTTTGGGCCAAACCAAAAACAGAGGCTTATTCATCGTATTTCATTTCAGAGTGCTCCTGTGCATATGAGATTCCTTTGATCAGCCTTGACAGCATTGTGTGCTCCACAATAAGTAGAGAATGATTACCTTGACACAAATGGTCCTATAGAAAATAAGTGAACTGCATATAATGGTAGCAATACAGTTGCGAAAAATTTGTTTCGGAATTCAGCCTATTAACAAAGATGAAATGGGAATAGAACACTTCCAGTTGAACCCCCATTTGGGGCGACCAAAACTTGCGAATACCTTAATCTTGGAAATATCAAAAAAATGAAATGATATACCTTAACACCTTCCATAGCATTTCCTCCCCTTCTACCAAACCTGCAAAAAATGTGTCTCTATGACAGTTTAAGTCAGCTTATACATTATTTCATACTCAAGCACCATAAGAATGCATTTCAAGTGAATGAATGTTAAACAAACAATGCAGCCAGACTCAATTACCTGACCTCTGTTCTGAAAAGATAGGAATAAATCGATAGGGCAGAACCAACCACTCAATCCGTCTCTCATTCGACAAGGTGAACATCACGTGCACTCGTGAGTCAAAATATCATATTTAAAATTAGATGTTATATATTTCATCTACCTGACTATATGAGTATGGAATGAAACAAGGTGCGTACATGGAGTGCTGAATTAGTCCTCCAAAATGGTTGAATGTTACTGTAAATACCTTTTCGTACAGGCTTAAAAAGTCTTAAAATCTTCCGGCATTGCAAATGAATGCACTAGTAGTTCTTTTAGTGTTTGTACTTCTGCAAGTGTTTTTGCAATCTGCCTATAAAGCCTATAAAGGACACCTAAGTTCATTAGATGAATGGAATTTAGTAGCGTGAGGACTTCCCAATGACTATGCAAACGGTAGCAGTAGGTTTGGCTCTTTTTCTACTTATAACATTCTGTCTTGGCCAATCCACTTCTCCACCTCCACCTAAGGACCTGATTTTGATCAAGCTAGTAAACTGGAAGATTGAAAAGTTTAAACCCTATTTGGCCTTCATTGGAGTACTTACTTTCCTCACGCTGTTTAAAATTTTCTACCCCAAAATTCCCTATGTTGCAAAATACATTCCTCAATCGCTTATTCTGGTAGTCAGTGGAATAGCTATTGCTGCAGCAGTCAATGCCTCAGGAATCTCCTTCGAAGAAACAAAAATGGTACTTACTCCAACACTCTTTTTCGATTTTCTTCTTCCACCTGTTATACTGGATGCTTCGTACAACCTTTCGAATCGAACATTTTTAGACTTCTTGGCTAGTATTCTCATCTATGCGATTTTTGGCACCCTAATCAATTTTTTCATCATTGGACCACTAATGTACGGAATGGATGTAGCCGGTGCTATGGAACCGGGACTTCCAAATATACCAATAAGCAATTACTTTCTGTTTGCCTCTCTTATCATTGCTGTTGATCCAGTTGCCGTGCTAGCCATCTTTCAAGAAATTGGAGTCAATCTTGGTCTCTACTTCACAGTGTTCGGTGAGTCCCTCTTAAACGATGCTGTGACTGTCGTGTTATACGAGATTATGGTTGAATTCGCCTCTGCAACGTCAGCTTCTGTTAAAGAAGTCGGCTATGGCATAGCCTCTTTTTTCACCATCAGTTTAGGAGGTGCATTAATCGGTTTCATAATGGGTGCCGTTTCATGTTTATTAACCCGTTGGGAAACTCATCTAGCTCCGATGCTCCTCATCCTTTTAGCACTCTTTTCTTACTACATAACCACTTGCCTTGGATGGTCAGGTATCATTGCGTTGATATGCTGTGGTTTAATGCAATCCGGCTACGCTTTTCATAACGTCTCTTCTGAGTTGGTCAACACACTTGAGGAAATTATCCAACAAATTTCTGAAGTTTCCGAGGCACTCATATTCCTCCTCCTCGGATTCCAAATTATGACTACCAAGCTGGAGTGGTCTACCGGCTTCTGTCTTTGGGCATTTGTTATTTGTACTTTCGCAAGAGCTGTATCTATTCTTGTTTTTTCACAAATTGTCAACTGCTTGAAGATCAATAACATGAGAATCAGTTACAGAGAACAGCTTATTATGATTTATGGGGGATTAAGAGGAGCCGTGGCATCATCTCTGGCTTTCCTCCTCAAAGACCTTCATGCCGTGAATGAAAAAGTGAGAGAGATTATAATCACTTGCACTCTTTTTATAATTGCAGTTACCGTTGGATTGCAAGGTCTTACAGTAAAACCATTGGTAAAATTAAGCCAAATCAAATTACAAGAGAAGCAAACACTGAGTGTAATAAATGACCTCTCATGCAGAATTATTGATCACACTCTTGCTGGTGTAGAAGCTATTATAGGTTCAATAGGAAGGAATAGATCACGTGAATTGTTTGCAAGAATGGATTTCAAGTTTATTCGACCCATTCTCCAGAAACGTCCACAACGACATGACAAAGTTTTGCGAACCTATGAACAGATTTCGTTGAGTTTGCATTGGGCTACAGTGAAGCCAGAAAAGAGCACTGAATACCTCAAGGATCTTCCAGAAACGTTGGTGAACAGGTTTTTAAGAGGAGATATGACAGGTGGTGGAAGTCACAGGTATAAAGGAAGGGATGAAGAAGGTAGCCTATTCGACGTTATTACCGACGAACCACCGCCTAGGAGGGAGTCACGAGGTCTGTTCCTACGAGTTAGACCTCCACGTGAAGAAAGTGAACGACCAGAATGGCTCCGTCCAACAAGTATGATTTCCGAACGACCAGGCAATCCAGACAAGCAATACAAGGAGAGATTTCTCTATGTCATGCGTCGCAAATCCTCTGAGTTTAGCCAAGCTGATTTTCCTGATCAAGCTCAATTTGCACAACTACGAAGTCTCTCGCATTACACGGACATGCAAAGCGACACCCACACTAGCAGCAAAAGCCAAAGCCGAAGCGACGAAACCCAGTGATTCACCAAACAAGTCTGTAATGCAATATACAAAAGACTCACATTTGTTAAATATTCTTTCAAATAACACCCAATAATGAAGCCCAAACTTCCTGTTATTGTAATTAAACTGTCGCGGGTGCATTTTTGGTTTTGTCTTGAATGTAATATTTAAAAATTAAGCAAGAACGTTAGTTAAAGCTAAAACGGCTATAACCCTGGTTAGCCTATAAAACGACTATAAATCTCCAGACATTGATAGAAATGTGCAAAAGTTTATGCGAAGTTTCATCAATTTTGAAAAATAAGTTAATTTTGTAAACCATTGGCAATATAGCTTTTGCTTGTTTTATCTTGATTAATAATTTGTCTGTGACCAACACATTCATGACAGATCGAAAATGTTCGTTAAATTCTTCAATGACAAGTAAGTAGGGAAGCTGTAGCGCATTGGTACACTAATATGCCTTGAATATGACTAGAAATCTCTATGACAGAGTCTCCTATACTTAAATTGACCCCCAGAACAAACTAATCTACAGCCCAGCTATTGAGAAAACATACGTATGGCTCGGAACACTTTTATTCTCACTTTGGTGTTCCTCCCCTCTGTGAAGCCCGAAGTCAGCTAAAGGGCCAATAATACCTATCAAAACTCCTGCCATTTGAAATAAATATATGTCGGATTTAATAAGCCAAGCGAGGACTATTGATTGGCGGTTGGTTGCGTGTTCTGCACTCACAAGCACTCTCTACACAAAGTGACACGGACGTACCTTCAAGCCAATCTGGGCGCGCATGAGACACCGTTGCATACCCCACAGGTCTCATCGAGGTAGGCCAAGAAATTTCTGAGGCTTATTGGGTTGAGCTTATTGCCAGTTTGAAGATCAACGAACATGTTAGAAGAGTTTATGCTAAGTCGAAACTTCATGAAGACGACTTTGAATTTATCTCACTCCTTTGCTAAAATAATTCATTGAATCAAAATTACTTTAATTAATTTGAATCATCGATAAAGCTAATGGAGGCGCGGATGAGTAGTTACTGGAAAGGCTAAGCGGACATGGTAATTTAGACCCCATATAATATTTTGCTCAATCTAAATGAACAGCTACTTCCAGTTTACATGATATGACCCTGAATATATATATATATATATATATATATATATATATACATTGAATATATATCCTCTACGTCTGAGAGCCTCTATAATTGCGTTTAGCCTAAATGCGCTCATTTCTACGAATTTCATCGAATTTTATTAGTCATTTGGAGATGTGAAACGGCCAAGAAGTTTGAGGTAAGTTCTTATTTTACTGTTTTAATCCAATCCTTTCACCTGCATTTAAATTTTCCATTTAAGTATTAGTCTCTTCAAGGAGAATAGTGAATCCATGCCTAGACCGCACGCCCATCGCCATTTAATCCTCAAACCAGGTTTCCAAACTTAGGTTGAGCCAAATAAAAATGAATGGAAACTTGGTCACTCCAGACATTTTGGTTTCTCATAAATGACCTTAAATCAGAGGCTAGTACTTCAATCTACATCTAAAATCTGATTATAATATTTTGCAATTTAAATAATTTACTACGGTTTTTGACAAATTTAAAGCATTCATGAAGCATAATTTAAATTTTTAGTTTCATTTTCTTGTAACGTGTATTGTCATAGCTTCATATTTCCATGTGTTTCTGATCGATAAGTAGTAGACAACAGACAAATTTAAGGTACCACCACGATTATGAATGACGGACGAAGAAAAGGCTCATTTCGAGACAAGGAGTCGTTTGGTCCTAGAATGAGGAAATGCTCATCGATTTCTGTATGTACAAAGGATAAGAGCATAAATTATGTGGTGCCTTCAGTATTCGCCCTTCCAAGTGAAGACTATTTCCGCATTCGTCGGAACTGCAGCAATTTAAAGTAGGCTCACAGATAATGGATTCCACTCGCATGCCTCTTGCTTGGTAGCGATTGGTTGCCGCACCTACATACGCTTATTGCTGCTTCCCAGTTAGTTGAATGCACATAGAGATGGCGAGGGTGGGGGGTGCGAGTTGTACCTGCTGGAGGGGTACGGTGGTGGCAAGTGGAAGTGGAAAGTGCATCTGGATGGCTTGACACACATGCAGTAACCTTTTGTAGGGCAGAATTAGGAAGGGTGTGGGAGGGGGGTATTTAAATATGCTCTCCTTTGAACCACCTCAATTGGTAGTGTTCAAGTTTTGAGAAAAATGTCATAATTGAAATTGGGCTTTTCTCCAATTTTCGAAAAAGATAACTCTTGTGTCTTAATCTCGTTCATTTCAAATCCGCCAAATTGTTGAAGAAACTGTTCAGTTGATTGGATGGACTGAGTACTGCTTCAATCTCCAGTAGTTTATCAATTCCACTCAGAACATATTTTCTCTTTCTAAAATACACTGATTGACATTACTCTTCTTGTTCTGATGGCGCAAGAGAATGCCAACTAGTTAAGTTCAGGCTGTGCTGGCTAATAGTTGTCAATTTCGGTGGCACCGTGGGAGCCATTACAATGTCTCTTTCTACCTGAAATGAGACAAGACATTATTTTTACTCATTGAAGTACAAAAACCTAAGAACGGTTTTGTTTCGTTGCCCAAAATAAGCCACTAAACAGGGCTTCAGTAGTATCCAGTGGGTATATCTTGAGAGAATAGAACTAGTAAACAGCAATCTTCCGATGGGTACTTTGGCGGGACATGTTATGTTATAATCATGTAAGTCAGTACCATCATGTTGGATTTATTTAAGTATTAATCAAATACCATTTCGATTCGGCTGGAAAACTCAATTGAATGATTTCAGTACACTCGAAGGAATTCATAACTTTCATCTCTCATTTACTGGATAATCAATTATTGAAATCTACGCTCACAATTGGATATGTAAGATGACTGCGGAAGAACCAATTGCTACAATTACTAGACAATCAGGCAGCTTTTCATATATCTGGGTAGTTTTAATTTTATAAATAGACAACTAAGGGCTATAAAGACCACCTGAAGAGCAGTAATTGAGAACGATAATGCAAATCAGTGGGATCGTAACAATTGCAAATCACAATTTAGCTTAGTTATTAGCAACCACAAAACTAGCTAAGACATCACTAACTCTACAAATACTTATTTGACCTATTGAAATTCCATCTTTCCTCTATACTTTAACGCATGTAAAAAGTGCACACTTATTTTACTCGAAATTATAACCCCTTCGATCAACAGTTTGTAAGACGAAAAGAGGAATGCCTGTAGATTTTAAAATATGCAGTTACGGTATTCCTATAATTCAGTTCGCCAAGTTATCACTTTAAATCCTCAATTGAGTCATTTTCATAGTAAGTTGACTTCATGAAAGTGAACACAAAGATAGCACATTTGAATATCTCAATGAATTACAGCGCCAATAAACTAAAATAATGAAACAGGAGAAGAGGAATAGCCTTAATTTGCCTTTACTTTCAATAGTGAAGCTCGAAATCTAGCAGCAGCTAGTCTTTCGTTAATAGAAATACCAGTAAAGTCTAATTTTACCAGGTTGGGAAATGCGGCTAGCAAAATAATGAAGTATCCTGGTTCCAATTCAGCAGGGTTTCCATGGGCTGTCAACTTGGTGAGATTTTGAAGAGCCTCCAATTTCAGTAACTCACGAATGGATGCTATTTTATTGCCATGAAGGTAGAGAATTGTCAAGTTCTTCATTTCCGTCAATTCCGAGTGAACCTGGGTGAGTTGATTGCAAGACAGATCTAACCACGTCAGCCAATTGTCTGTAGGAAAAAGACTTTTAAGCACCTCTGGAAGATCATTCAGTTCCTCCAATTCGTTGTTATTCAATTTCAATATTTTTGTCAGCCACTTGTGTTCCTTGCTTTTGGCAACTTGCAAATAGAGAGGATTATTGATTCTTGGAGAAAAGCGAATAATTTCAAGAGGGGTTTTAATTTTACAGAAGGAAAAGTCGAGTGGGAGAATCAGACCATAATTTTCTGCATCAATTTTGACGTTGATGTGATATTTCATGACAATATATTTGTCACTCTTTTGTCTGAATTGTTGAAAATTTTATTGATTAATTCAAAAATGAAATGCCTAAGGAAGACCAGTTGCCTCTGTCAGGGCCCCAATTTCAAATTGAAGGAAATTATACTAAGATCGACAACATCATTAGTTTGTGAAACTTAACACACTAAATGACAATAGTAAATGTAGTAGAATACTCGGACGCATTATTCAATACAGGAAACCAGTAATATTCATTGTTTCTTCTCTTCCAGAGACTGTTGATTATGTAGCACTCTTGTTTTCTGCTCAAGCACAACTAATTAAAGAAAAGAAAGAATGACACTGAAGTACTTGGCCTAGAGACTGTGCAATAACAGTGATGCAATTCTTAACTGAATTCATATAAACAGTTGTAATTCCACAACGTGTACACCACAAGCGAACAAAAATCGTATTTCATACAGATGCAGTGAATGTGTACAGACGTTGGAGAGCAAAAGGTCTGCTTTTAATACCGGGTAAGCGAAAATAAATTTTAGACTACATACTCAATATTAGATTGGCTACAAATTTAAATAATACACCAAATCCTGAAGTAATAGAAGTTAATTTAGCTAAAACTAATGAAATACTTTAAAGGTCTAACCTCAATTTGTGAAATTTATTTTGGACTTTCTATAGCTGTAATTGATTTTCTTCAAAATACAATTGCACAACGGATGATATTAAAGAGATGGCCAAACAATAAATCGGAATTTAACTAGGTAATAACCAAGTAGAATATCACATATTGATGTTTATAACGGGAAATTGAATTTGTGATAGGCCACATAAACTTGTATAAGTGCATATAGTTCGGGTCGTATATTGTTTTCTACATAAACATACTACCATTATGTATGTCAGAAATTACATCTCCATGACCATTCTTCATTAAAAAACTTCAAAAATATAAGTTTTCACAGAACTTTAACAAGCTATCTTAACTAGCTTAATCTTGGCTAACAATTAATATGATATTGAGAATAGCGAAATCACATAATTTGTTAGTCTGAACAAGCACGATAACAGGTTCTTTGGCATTGATTTCATAAGATCTGGGTAAATTATTTACCCAGCGATTAAATAATTAATTTGAGCATTATAAACCCTCAAATTTGTAAGTTGTTGCTTTCTTACTTGTACTGTAAAACAGATTGACCCTTCGTATTGGTTCAATGACTAAATTATTGCATTATCATTTTCTTTCATTTCCTTAATCACTCCAAATGTTTTTCTTGCTGTTCTTAGTGAAATTATTGTCATATTAAAGTAAATGTTATCATTTAGTTGCCATTTGTTGTAACTCTGAAATGATTCTATTGATTTGGTCTATTTATTGAGTAGCCCTATCTTCAACAATTTGCTTTTTTTTTGAAAATTGGCAAAATATTTCATTCATTACTTTAGATAGAATGTCAAAATTCTTTGGTGCCAGTCTTTTTAAAAAAACTACCTCTTCCAATGGTGACAATCAAGTTCAAAAGAGTGCTGCCAATCGTGCAAGTCCTAAAACGTTGGGACCGACTTCTACAGTGATGTGGGACACTATCTGCGACTTGAATAGCTCAAGTGATCTTGATGAATCAGCGGATTTCTTCTATTCTCGTTCGAACCTCTTTTCACCAAGTTCGAATAAACCGAGTTCCAACTTCTCGGTTCCAAC